TATATATATATATATACATAATGTATGGTAACCCAAATCTCACTATACCTTACAAAATATTGGAAACTACACATTTATTGATTACTGTGTAAATATGGTAAAATAGGAAACAGGATGTTCTTAAGCATGTTCACATCTATTTTACCACTAAATCCTGACCACCCAAGTTAATTGTATTAGATACAACTTTGTACAGGGACATATAAATATTTTCTATCAGTTTTTTCTTTAAACAATTCTTGATGCAACTACTGTACTGTGTAAACAAGTTGAAAAATCCTACCCCACTGTGTTTTCAGAGCCGGTATTTAAAGAAACTTGTTTGCTTATCGACCAACATTCAAATACCTAACAAGTTTATCGGATCAGCCCAGACATTCTACAAAGCCATAGCATAAGCATTTTATAATATTTTAGACAATTCTTGTTGTAACCATTATACTATCCCAGTGTGTTTTCAAAGCAGGGTATGTTCTGTGAATTGTGCCACAAAAACAACTAAACAGAAATGGCGAATCATTGCCATATATTCAGCAGGTTTCTACTTATCCGCTAACAGTAGAATAAACATAGGAAATAGGTGAAAGTTTCAGGAGATTTACTTTGGAACTTCGTTGTACATTGTTTCTTTTAGTTTCTAAGCCATCTGCTAACAATAAAATAACTAAAGAAAATAAGTGTGAAAGGTGAGAAGCACTTTGAAATTTTGTGATCCATACTAACAATACTATACATTTTATTTTGCTTTTGCAACCTTTATTTTCATTATACTTCGATTACTTATTTACAACCTGGAGAATCAAGTATAATGTTGCAGTAAAGAAAATAACAGATAAAATATTAAGCTTTACTAAATATAAAAATAAAATATGTTTGATATTTAATTACAAGGTTTTTTATTTTTATTTTGTTTTCACTATTTATTATTATAAAGGTAACTAAAATGTAAAAAATAGAAACTTATTAGGTAAGATAATGAAAGAAAAAGAATAAAAATCTTCATGTATTATACATGCCAGCAGCTGGTGCGTTATGCCAATCCATAGGTAATGTTAGCTGCACGTACATCATATAATGTTCAAATTGTGTCAGGGTATTTTTAGTCAAACATTGTTCTAAGGCCGGTAAAACAAAAGTGAATAAATATAAATAGATGGATACTTTTACGAGATTTAAGCTTTTTAGAATAAACATTTGTCATTTTCTGTTACAATTTGCAGTTATTCTAGAACAAAAGTGAGGTAATTTAGATTTATTTCCTAATTTTTATGATGGTTACGAGGTCAGTCAAATCGACCAACACCATATGGAGTTAACATTGATAAAATAACAGATTAAATATAAAGTTTTATTTAAAAAACGTTTGATGATTACTTAGAAAGAAATGGAGATTATGCAAATGAAACTTGACAAAAGTATTTTTATCTTAGAACCAAAAATACCTTGCACGTTGGATAGTCAACATTCTGAAAGAAAAAACTCATGATCAAAACTTTAATTTAAAAAATCGTAATACTTATTTTAAAAACCAGATATTTTGTGTATGAAAGCCTTGCAATGTTTACTAATAGTCTGCAAAATTTTGTAAAGATATGCATACATTATCAAAAATTATAGAATAATTACTCTCATGGATACTTTTGTAGATACCGCCCAGTCCGTATTGGTAGGGTTAAAAAGGTCATGATATGCACATTTTTATCTATCTGTATCCATAGGGTTAATAGTCATAATCTAGGTAGGAAAAATATCAGTGTTACTCTTTACTGAACTATAGAGTATGATATTTCAGCAACAATCTCATAGTCTTCTATTTTGTCCTAAGTGTTTTATAAAATTTTACTAGGTTTAAAAGAAAGCAACTTTTAATCCCAGCTTTTGAACACGAGTATCGTCATGGATTTCAGCATCTCAATGTACGGTAAGCATCGACTTAGTTAATTTTATTTTGAGACACAGTAGTTATTAATTCTCACCGATGTCCCATGTGTCCTGAAAATACATGAAAATTGTTTTATAATACATGATAATTATGCCATTGCAGTTGTATGATATAGGTCTTCGTAGTGAAGATCTTTGACATACGTGGTGGGTAGTTAATATCTGTGTATTATCGGCCCTGAGGTTGGGGTTAATGAAGATGTACTTAAGAAAAGTGATTTCTAAAAAAAGATTCCATAAAGAAATGATATGAAATTTGTTCTATAAAGATATTATTCACTTAAACTTTTCTAAATCGGAAACTGTTTTTATTCTATTTGACAAAAATCACGTATATAATTCTAATTTAAGCTTCCCACCAGATTTAATTCCATGAAGCACAACATTAAGGAGATTTTTTTTATTGATGTTTATAATTCAGTCCATTTTTAAGCTACTTTTTTCTTCATAATCCTAAAGTTCAGATATTTATCGATGTTTGTTTGACAGGGGTGAGATTAGCTGCCGCTCTTCCCATGGAACAGTGGTTGTGTTTCTCCAGAATGATGCAGGCTTTGTTCGATGGGGACCCACACAAGAAAAAGTGGACCATCTACTGGAAATGTACAAGCCTGGCAAAGACAAGGAACGAGAGCATTTTCTAGCACCACCTAGAGTGCAACCTCAAGCCCCTCAGACAGTCGTCACAAACAGTCAGCCACAGAAGCCATCACCTCAAATACCAGTGGCAAAAATGCATATTGTTGCTGCACAACCAAATCCAGTGTTCCAGCAGACAGAACCCACTATTGCAGAACATAAATAAAATTTTAATGCCATTATAAATACTTTAGATAAAAGGGAGGAAAACAAGTTCATCAAAAGCTTTGAATATGGAAGTGACTGTAATTTTGTTGTAATATAGAATTGTAAAGTTCTTGAGCTAGATGTTACCTATCTTGCTCTGAAATTACTTGTGATCCTCATAAGTAGCGACATCTCTAAGCAAGTATTGGAATTGTTATAATTAAAATTTTAATATGTTAATTAGCAAATTTAAAATGTAGACATCATTGTAAAAATTTTAAACTGTAATATTAAGGTAAAGTACTGAAAGTGATTAGTAGTGGTTTTTCAGCAGTAAACTGTAATGGTAATCATACTGGGTTGTAGCTTTGGATCAGATAACAATATTGATTTTGGCAGTTTGAATATTTTTTTGCATTACATCAAAATACAGTGCCCTGTGTGATGACTGGGCTATATTTTTTCTGTGGAACACTTATTATGGTGATTGAGATGGACTGTGCATTAGAAGAGAGTGCATTTTCTGGTGACTGGGCTTGACTTGTGACTTCAGATCAGGAAACATTGCCATATCTGGTAGTCGAACTGTGAGAATTGGATCAAAGACTATGTATTTTATTGTGATTGTGCTCGAGTTATTGTTATGAATCTTAAGACATTTCCACATGTGGTGATTGGACTGGACTGAGTAAGTGTTGGGTCAAAAGTAATGTTATTGGTGATGACTGGGTTGGGTTAGTAGAAAGATTTGTTTCTTGTGGCTTGACAAGGATATGCATTGTGTCTTTTGGATCAGGAAATGATATTAAGTATATGAAAGAGGATGAAATTTTACTAGGTCACTGAATTGAAAGTGAATGGATAGAAGGTACTCTTCTTTTTATGGTTGTTTGAACTGTATACATAACATAATTAAAATCAGAATTTGTTGTTATAGAAAATTTGATCAAAGATGTTCACGTGAACTCTCAATATTAGATGTTTTTTTTTTCTCATCATCATCATAATAAATTTGTATCTTCATTTAGCTTAAGACATCAAAATGAATTTACGATTTTATGGGGGGGGGGGTGTCAACCTTCCATTGAAATATTCTCTGCAACTAAGTAATTTTATTTTGCAATTTTTTTTATGTGCAATCTCCTTCACGAGTTCTGACTTGTTTCCATAAGATGGTGTTTAAGATTGTATGTGAAAACATAGTAAGATAGGGAATTTTGGTGAATGTCTTTGTGAATTACATGTGAAGAAAGATTTTTTATCTAATCTTGAAAACAAGTGTAATATATCAGTATATTTGTACAGTACACATTATATTGTGTAACACGTGTATAGCCACTGTTTTTAGGAACCAAAATACCTTGTTTAGTGGTTAGTTGTTAAGATGTATTTTAGATGAATATATTCTTCTTTTTTTTTCTGTTTTTGGATTTTATAAGACCTTAAATCAAATAATTATGTTTTTCATTACAGAACTGGCTTGTTAATTTTTAACTACTGCAGCTTAAAAGACTATATGTAACTCTCTGGTTTATGACAGTTGCTAATTTACAGGTTTAGTTTGACCTGTTAATATGGATAGAATTTAGGAAGACTGTCAATAATACAAGTTCTTAATAACAAGTCATTTTTTTGTAATGAATTTTATTTTAAAAATTATGTTTGGAGAAATGAAAGTTGTATACCAGACAAACTATATTTTATGTTTAGAAAAACACTAAGTAATTGGATATGTAAGATTTTTTAATAGGCATACAACCTATAGCCAAAATATTTTATTCATATACATGTAAAATATAAATATATATATATATACAATATAATTCTTGAACTTATGAGAACCCAGAAAAGGTTTTCTCTCTCAAGGAACTTTTCTAGTAAACTGATTATGATTTTTATCATATTTACAATATAAACTTAGCAAATTTACATATTTTGACAAAAAAAAAAGAGGGGGGTGGTGGAATGCTCACATTATGGAACTTGCTATTTTTTATGTAAATGTTATTTGTCTGTGAGCTGTAACAATATGCAGTACAGTAAATTAGACTTGTCCTGACTTACTGTAGGAGATAAACCACGCTTCACAATAGTCCGATTTTATGTTTATTGTAAGCGTTGGCCCAGCTTTCATCTTACTATTTGATTAAATGTTGTAGGCTTATGTTCTCTTAGCTCGATACATTTAGCTTACCCATCTCTTGCTACTTTATGTAATGTTATCAATACCAATACCTTATTTTAATTTGCCAGTTTAAGCAATTCAGCTTACATCGTATAGTTTCTATGTTGCGACGTACACAAACTTCTGTAATAACTTCTATTAAGCTGTAATAACTGATGATGCCTTTCAGGCTTACCTAGTTTTACTGCAACATATCCCAATTTTACACTGCAAGAGAAAACCTATCTTATACTGAGCAGTCGGACAGTGTGTTACATTATTAGCCAAATGTATTGTAAGAAATATCCAGGTTCAGTTACAATATTATGATTGTGTAATACGTGCTTATCCACATTTATTGTTTAAAAAAAATTCTGTAAAGTATGATTGTGCATTGCTAATTTAGTGTAAGTAAGGTAAAGATTTTTTTATCACTAAAAATTCTTTGGAAGGATATAGATAAAACATAAAAATAACAAAACATTTGTTGATGAATGTAGGTATTTCAGAAATTGTAGATACAGAATTAATTTTAAATTAGAAAAACTGAAAAGTTTTACGTTATTTTGAAGCCAGTTCATTTTATTTGTTTGGTCTGTTAGTGTGGCTTTAATTTACTTTTAAATTTCATTGAAATCAACAATAGGAGTAAGAAAAAAAAATTTATTAAAGTACAATGTAAAACATATGTAACCTAGTTTAAGAGACATTTGTCTTTCATAAATACTTTTTTTAACATTTTTAATAATTAATAAACTTCAGTTGTCTTTTTCTTTTGATCTTGAATCATCTGAAATATAGTTGAAGGTAAAAAATTTGTGAAACACTTGATCTGCAGCTAAGCAGAATCAAAATTAAAAGCATTTTGTCACAAATACAGGGTGTCCCAGAATACTGGACCCATATGGACAAATACACAATTTATTCTTGATTTATTTATTATTCAAATTATATGCCATTAACAGCCACACACACATATCAATTCTTGGTACACTGTGCCATCAGGGTATCTTATTTCCAGAAGTATGTACGACTGACATTAGAAATGTGTTAGTTTAACTTTAAGAATATAATGTCTATTTTCCAGTCTTCTGGGACACCCTGTACAATGTTTGGAAACAAGATGTTTTAGCAAGTTGATGACTATAAATATACTTTTCATAGAACTTGTTGAATTTAATAACAGAAATACAGTATAATAAACCACTTTATTAGTGGTGAGATGTATTGGTTATAATTAAACTGAAACAACTTTATGACACTGGTTTATATTTTGATATCTAAAACACATATCATAGTACTTCAGGTAAAAAAAAAAAAAAGTTTTGAGAACACAAACTTCCATGTCGTGATTAAAATGAAATTTATATTTAGTTAAAGAAAATAATTTAAATTTTTAAAAAGCTATCATTATATATTTTAGTGTGTTTTTTCTGCTATTGCACTTGAAATGCATTATTTTCAAGTCATATGAACTAAGATATGTTTAAAATTTCAAGTTTTTTTTTTTTTTCTAAATCGATGTGTTGCCCTTCTATCAGTCAGTGATGTTTCCTTTTCAATTAAACCAAAATCTGTAGATAGTTGACAGATTTGTCTGAACAGGGAAGGAGTAAGTGTTGTATGCTGGTGTAATAGCTTTTAAGTGAAGCTGTGACAAGTTTAGAAGTTTGGTGAAAACAACTTTTATTTTTGTTTTCAGTGATTGTAAATGATGCACTAAAAACAAAGAAAATGTTTGTAGTTAATACTGCTACCCATTGTCATTAGCTTCATTACTCCAACTTAGATATACAGATTAATACTTGCAGATGCTGGTGGCACCAAGTCACACAATATTCAATTCTTTAATCACAACTAATGATAGACATTGCACTGCTTAGTATAAATATGGCTACATCAACTCAGAACTGCTAGACTTACCAACTTGGCATTCAGAAGAGTTAAAAAAAACACACCAAAAGCTTCAGATAGAAATGTCACGAAATATATGATGGCAATGGAGGATAAAAACATGTAAAACTGGAGATATTTGCAAGAGAAAGATGATGTCTGCATGCTCAGTTAAAAGTTCTATGAGGGTTTGTACTGAAAAAATAGTAAGCTCTTTAAGAGGAGACTACTGGATACATGTGAAGATGTGCTGACTATTCATGAGTAGAGGTATGAAACGTTTGCCCATTGTTCACTACTACAGAGTTTCACAATTTCCATGCTCATTCAATGATGAGTTAGAGTGTGAAACCATTATTTTTGTGTGATATCTCATTCACTCCCATTTTCATGTATTACTAGTTTCTTATACATCTCTTCAGCACAAAGTAACTGTAAAAAGGCTTAAAAAATACTATACGTTTTAGTGTGTTGCTGGTTTTAGCTGCTGACCTACAAGTACAACACACTTGCTCTTTGGCTATTAAAATTTTCTAGGTATTGAATGAAAAAAGTTAATCAGCTTCTTACTATCACTACCTAAATTTTAAAATCCTAGAAACTTAAAATCTTCTTTAATATAATGATCATTACGTAAATTTTAACACCATCTAGTTTAAACATTAGACAGACTTTAATTTAAAAAACAAACAATTAGCACACATTCTTCTAATTTAATTGACCCGTCATATTGTAAACAAGAGAAATGTTATCACTATCATAATATCCTACTGCACTAATACCTCTATCAAGTCAAACCAACCAAGTTTCTTAATGTAGGAAAATACAGAAAGTTGTATACACCCGTTAATAAATTAAATTTTAATCTCGGCCCTGTTTATATTTATATCATTCCATAAATCTATTTTGTGACAAAACTTGTTTTAAATTGAATTTCTTCCTTATACTAGAACTATTTTTATTCATAGCATGGTTTGATATTTACAACCATTTAAGTAACAGTATCTGTGACAAGTCCTCATAAAAATGTTGTTTTGTTTCTCCATTTAAGAATGTCACAAATCATCAATATTGTTTTACAAATTTAAAATGTCACTTGCAAATAGCAAAATTTTAATTATCACTTGCAAATCATGTTTTATATTTTACCATTTTATAAAGTCACTCAGAAATTGTTACTTTTGTGTTAGATTGTCATTTACAAATGGCCAATTTCATCATTATACAATATCACTGAAATATGTTTTACTTGGAATGAATTTCATCAAGTGGCATGACTACTTTTATATAACAACTTGTGTCAATTACATTGACAACAATTAAAATCACTTTTGTGTTATTAGTCGATTCAAGCATAACAAAGGATGTTTAGTTGAAAATAAATTAACCATAAGAAAGATAAATACAATTACGTGCAACTATGTGTGTTGGAGAAATTATGTACAATGTTATTAAAAGAAGCAGAATTTCATGTTACACAACCTGTTTTAACAAGTTACGTGAAATCCAACACCACAGTAACTAATCTTGATGAATGTCAGGCAGAGTGTATAATCATGTCACACAAAGTATGTTTAAATAGATACTTCAGGTCTCTGGTATCTTTCTGGGCCACATGCAGCCTAGTGGTTAGTATGCTGGACTGTGGTGATGAGGTTCTGTGGTTTCCATCCCATTATTATGGAAAGGTTTTTTCCAACATCCTCCTTATGGAGGCATCACAATTATAATAGTTTTCATAAATCTTCAATCTTTGAGTAAACCTAAAAACCTTTTTTTCTTAAGCTACGATCGAGGTGAAAAGAAACTTGGTTCTCTGAACACCCTGGGACTGGAAAATTTCTTATTTTCTAAATACCAAGTAAAGAACAGAACAGAATTGGTATTTTTTTAGGTTTTTATGTCAAATATTGGATTTCACATATTAGGTTTTCTCGATTGTCTAACTTCTTGGTTTTCTTGTTTATCACATTGATACCTAATTTAATTCCCCTTTTTCCACCTCAGACATCTTTATTTCATCAATAACATCCTCTTTATGACTGGTTGTTGTCCACTTTCTTGCCCATATGATGCAATCTCCAGTTTATCAAACTGAAAAATGTTCGACAATGGTAGACACACATTTGGTACCTTTTCTTTCTCCTTTTTTTTAACGATGGTCATTTTTCAAATTGTTTTTAAACAAACCTTTATCTTTCTAAGTATCATCAGAATACTGTACACCACTTTTAGATTTCATTTTTCATATACCTTGGTCTATCTGCTTGAATATTCCAAGTTTCTTTAGTTTTTATGCTTTCTCTTAAAAACCTCCTTTATGCCTGAAGATGAAAACAAATTGTGCTGGTGTTAAAGGAACTTATTAAAACTTTTCATAGCTTTCACATCCTGCTCTGGTTTAAGGCCATTGTTAGTTTTGTGGCTATGCTTAGAAAGTGTTCTACAACTTACTTCCCAGAAGTTGTTTTTACGTCCTGCATCTTTCTTCCCTTGACTTTAATATTGAAGAAAGACAACCTAGTATCATTCTACTATCCTTCACTGCAGCTCAATCATTTCTTAAAAAGCTACTATCAGCAGCCCATTACTTTGCTTAGAGCCATATTTACACTGAATAAGTCACTGGTTATTCACACCTTATAATTAATAACTTAACATCCACTCAACCTTCCAAGTTGAACTCTATTCACATCTTTTACCAACATATCACACTTTCAACCAGTGTAGGTTGAACTAGTTATTCATTAGTGCCTTGTAACTCCTCATTTGCTCAACCTTCCAAGATGAATTGTGTTTACATCTTATAACCAACATAACTTTTCAACCCTCGATCCTGCCTTTGAGAATTGGTATTGCCCTGGCATAAAGATTGTCTTACTCAATAGACTTCTAACTTTATGCACAGGAGGTGTCTGATAAATACTTTCAAGTGTTTAGAGGGTTCATTCTAAAAAAGAATTATTAAAAACTCACTTCACTAGGTCATGGGGCCCACTGACACTGAAATACTGTAGTGGATCATGTGTAGTACCTTGGAACTCTCCACTATTCACCTTTATTTCTACATATTTTGGTGGATTCTTTGCGATCATCAGCCTGGAACCAACTTAAAATGGAGCTGGATATGTATCACACATAGTCCCAATTCTTTATTAAACTTTGGGATTGTCTGATTTAAATAATAAAGTCTCACTTATGAATTTCAATAAATGCTCATGACACACACATAAACGTTTTCTTTTACCCTTTCCTGCTTTGATTTATACTGTTTTTTGTTCTCTCCTACTCTCAAGTATAGGGATTCTGGCTCCGTACATCCAAAGATATAGTAACATAAGATTGCATTTTTGAAAAATAAACAAATCAAAAATGTTACTAATTTCTGGATGCATATGCCCCACTTTCTTCCTCAGATCTCAACTGTCTCTCTATCAAAATCTCAAGCAATTAGAATGATGACATTTTGAGCATACATAAATACATTCTATTGCTGAAAGAGAACTGCATAAAAGTAGAGTTCACATGACAACACAATGTGATGAAAAGAGTGGCTTAAACCAACAGTAAGTCAATGAATAAGCCTGATTGATATTTTAAAGTACAAGTTTAATTTCACTTAAATTTTAAAGATATGCATTTTGTTTGATGGTGATTTTGTTTGAGATGTGTTAATAAAGTTACATGAAACCTATCACCAAAGAAACAGAGCCTGGTGATGTCATAAGCATTGTCTGTTGATGGAACTGTGGAATGAAGTATCACACAAGTACTCAGTTACTTTATCAAACATTATTTTAATTTTCAATCTCGCCATTAAATTTAAAAATACCCTTCCATAATTTTCAGTTCCTTATTAACAAGAACTAGTATACCAGAACAAACTAGCATAAAGATTACTGCTGAATAGTTATGCCAGGTTGCAAGTATTAAAAAGTTCACAATAATTTCTTAACTAAATGTTGCTACATACACAAGAATAAAAAATGGCTTAAAAATGAAGCCTGATTCACCAACATCTAAAATACTCTTGCTTACATAAATATATACATATCATATGGACCTGATCGATTTAATCTTCACTGATCCTTGATGCAAGCCTGGTAGTGAATGGGTGATTTATGATGTATGTACATTATTCCAGTAGGCTAAAGTGAAGGTTACTTTTCTTGGTGCATAGAAAAGCTCAGTAAACAACTGAATACATATGCAGCAGAGCTTATGAATTTCCTATAGGCAGCTAAACAGTAGCCTTTCTTTTTAAATAAATACTTGGCTTATGTTAAGTAAAGGTATTTTTATTTATTCATTTTGAATGTAGAATATGACAAATGTCCCTTTTCAATGACATGTTACAAAGAAAACAATATACATGCCTTGGAAACCAAAAGGCAATTTACACTTTTTGTTTTATTTACATCAAAGTAACCTATGAAACATATGGTCCATGGCTCGGAGTATTTTACAACTCTTTTAATTACTTAACGTGTTGGCAAAGTCAGATTGGGGCCAATAAGCACATGCATATTTCTTTATCACTAGATACATCTTCAGTTATTTCTATGTCCAATACGGGTTGTCAACACTGCCAACCTAGATTTCTTAATCCTTGTTTATTGAACTGCTTCACTACCAAGTTGTGTTTGAAGAGTGACAATTTGGCTTCCACTGGTTGTTTATATGAATGATCTTCACATTTTTAATCTAAAACAAAAAACTTATCTTTGCATTTCCTACTTACAGAAATCACAAAATAAACGGTGTTTTTATTACAGTTATGCAAGTTTGTTCAATTCAAATTAATAATGGAATTTCCTACACGTTTGTATTTCTAAGAACATTTGAAATAATAAGTCTTACCTTTCAAAAATACAGTATATAATGGAATTATTATTGTTAAACTTTTATTTATAATCGGCTATCTCGCTGAATAAATTCTGTTTTTTCATAATTTAAACTATTACTATATTCTATGTAGTGACATTATACAATAAACATTTGATTTCTTCAAGGTGGTTATTGGACAAAATAAATCTATATATAAAAAAAAAACTATAAACAGTTTTCCAGTTACCTTTATAACAAAGGTTTACAGCACACTCAAGTCCAAAAACTAAACTCAGATCACACAATTATTTATTATTATTGTAAAGAACTAACACTTTTATTGTCAATAAATTTGTTTTTGTGTAGTGTAATTCTTTCCAATAATATTCAAGTCAGCAATTTTGAAATAATTTATAGTTCTTAATTATAAAACAGTGGTTAACAATACATGGTATTTGTTTTCACTTAATACTTTTGTCATAGCTACACAAAGATGTCATTCCAGTTACATCTACACCTTTATTACACAGTACATTTGGTCACGACCTGTTATTTCAAGCCAACTTTAGATATCATCCTGACTTATCCAGACCAGTTGTACATTCTCATCACGCCCTGATCGGTTGTTTAAATCCAACATTAGATTTCACTCTGCTGGTATATCTAGACCAATTGTACAATATCATCCCATCTTGATCAGTTCTTTCAATGCAATTTTAGATGTCACTCTAGCTTATCCAGACCAGTTGTTTAAATCAAACTTTAGATATCACTCTGTTGGCATATCTAGACCAATTGTACAATATCATCCCATCTTGATCAGTTTTTTCAAAGCAATTTTAGATGTCACTCTGTTGGCATATCCAGACCAATTGTACAATATCATCCCATCTTGATCAGTTCTTTCAAAGAAATTTTAGATGTCACTCTAGCTTATACAGACCAGTTGTACATTCTCATCACATCTTGATGAGTTGATTAAAGCCAACTTTAGATGCCATTTTGGTTACATTCAGACTAGTTGTACACTGTCATCACATTCTGAACAGTTGTTTAGGGCCACATTTAAATGATAACTCTACCTAGATCACACACACACATTGTATAAGCCATCACATTATGTTTAAAACCAACTATAAGTGTCATTTTAGCTTAGCCATTACACAGTAACCAATCATTTGACGCTAACTCCAGATGTTTATCTACCTTATCCAAAGCAACTGTACTTCAACACAACATTCCAGATACATCTCCTACTAAGGAGCTATTTGCATTAATTATCAATTTAATTACATTTTCTTCCAAACCAGTAGTAAACAGTCATTACAATCTATCCTGATAACTTGTTTAAAGCTGGCCACTGACGTCTGTAGTTTTATTTTGACGCTTATTTTTCCACTAAAACTAAACCAGTACTTTGCAACCAAATGCAGAAGTTTCTTAAAATACATCTAAATTAGTTGTTTCACTGTACATGAATCCACATTCATATTATATGTTTGTACTTTATTCCAAATACTTTAGTTATGCTCTACTTCAAATACATTTTATACAACAGTGTTCCTCTTGCCATATCCTTCTCATTCTCCATGAAAAACAGCAAGTCTCTGAGGTTGACTCGCTTTACGCGAGGTCTTACCTATTAGAAAACAAAACATCAGTAAGGTATTTTGTAAATAAAACCAAAATTAATCCACCAACATATCTTAAATGTGGCTTATTTATGGACATATATTCTATGACATATAAAACCATACAACCACTGAAAGAACTTATAAGCCAGCTCATTATCATATTTAATTGTGATACAATGTACTTAATGAACAATTCAAAGTTCAATGCAGTCAAGTAAAGTTATTTATTTCATAAATCACCTTTTTACATTTAATAAGGATGTCACTTAAGACAGGAGGAAAGTTTGGCAAGAGAGCACAATGATTGAACAGGGAGGAGGAGTTTGAGATGGGTCTACCTCCCTGAAAAGCCATAGCTTTTTCGAAAAACAGCAAATATTAGAAACTACTTCCTGAGATATCACAAGCAATTTACTGATGAAACTTAAGTCCTTCAGGGGGGGGGCAGTCAACTTAACCAACCTTGTAACCACCAGAATTTCCAGACTATAACTTCTAATACATTTTGTGTAGCTTCATCAAATTTGGCAAGAAAATATTAGAAGTCTTTTACACACAAAAAATCAGAATTTTTAAATATTTTTACTAAACATTTCCATGAATATGTGGCAACAGTGTGTTGACTGTTCATAGTGCACAGTTATTTCTATATTAAGATTAAAAATATTTTCTTCATCTGAAAATCTCCTAAAAAATATCAAACTTTTTCAGTAAAATTTCATATTTTATCTGCTATTTTCTCTAACCTAGCTCTACAGACTCAGTCGATTTGACTGACCTTGTAACCACCATAAAAAATTACAAATAAATCTGAATTACCCCCTTTTTTCTTTTTAAAATGACTGCAGATAGTAGCAGAGAACTGCATTTATTCTAAATAGCTTAAGGTTCATAACAATCTATGTTTGTTTACATTTAGTTTTATTGGCCTTTGAACTGTGTCTAACTAATAGTCATGCTATATAAGTTATAAATCACTCAAAGTTATTTATGAGCAAACAAACCTTGAGAAGAATTTTTATTTTTCTTCATCTTACCTAATAAGTTTCTAATTTTTACATTTTAGTTACTTTTATAATAATAATAAAATAATCCAGATATAGTACTTACCTGGGTCTTTTTCTTTTTGCTGTTGACTGTTGAAAGTTAAGCCTACATTTTTATACTAATGTTACTACCACACAAATTAATCTTTTATTTAATTAAATAATGCAATTAAGAACACAGAATAACAACACACAAAAAGCAAACAATCACTATCATAATTTTTCTGGTATTCTAACTGTACAATAAGAGCCTTTAAAAATTCAGCTAATATAGTCAATATGATTCTCTTAAGAACATATTAGAAACTGAACCAGGAAACAAACAAGTCTATGTATAGAAAATAACATAACAAATTATTTGATAGATTAAACCTTTGGCTTTCTAGTGGTTATAAATGATATGGTATAAACTTCAGAGAGAACTACTGGCCATTTGTGAAAGAGAGGGAGGATGTAACAGGTGGGCATGGCAAATGGTTCCATAAACAAAGTGTTTGTGTGTGTTTTTCAAAGCAGTGCCATGCTGGGCTATTTGCTGTGTCCACTGAGGGGAATTGAACCCTTATTTGAGCATTGGAAATCCATAGACTTACTGCTGTCCCACTGGGAGACTTTTTTAAGTGCTAACCATGAGTATCGAAACTGGGTTTGTTGCAGTGTGAGCCTACAGACTTACCACTGACCCATTGGGGGCCAAACAAATAAGATTGAATGCTATGAAAATTATGCTTTGCCTGAATAATATTTATATTATAATGAGTAATTTACGTTAAATTCCAAACTTCTTAGAAGGGTGGTAAATAAATTATAGAAGAGGGAAGGCTTAGAGAGCAAAGGTCACAGTTCTCACACTAGGGGAAATTAAGATTTTTTAAAAATACTTCCTTATAAAATTAAGAACTTAAAACTTATATTAAAATTTTAATTATGAACCATGTTTTGAAACCAAGTTTATTCATATACAATAATAATCAAGTAGTGTAATTACATTTTCAGTGTAACTCTCTAAAAAGTTGAGTTTCACATTTTATTTGCATCATCTCTAGAACCTCCATCAAGTTTTTTTGATAACATTGTATATTTCATCTGTAGATTTCTCTACACAAACAATGTTCTTCATTCCATGTTCACTAAAGACATCATTCAAGAATAATCAAAAGAATATTTAAAAAGCTAAATACTTTGGCTAACATAGTTCTTTGCTTTTCTATATTGACTGTGTAGTTATATTATTGTTGCTTATAATTACAGTTTAAACCTCTGTTCTTTTATCAACACGTCTTCCTGAGCCATTCAAGACTTTGCTATGAGTAGACACTGAAGACTAAGCATTTCCTCAATAATATTAGAAAGTATAACAGCTGTTTTCAGATGACTTCTTTTGGCCCCACTGTTATCAGAGAACAAAGTAATATGCCAACCTTTCAAGTTCAAGGTCAAGTTTATCACAACATTGGTGCACTACAGCCTCTACCAAATGAACCACCTGAATTGCTACAGGTTATTTCATAGGAAATAGAATACAGCATGCAAATCAAAGAGAGCAAAATAATCCTGGAGTAAAGCTAAATATAGTTCTTGATCTTCAAGATTTGTTGCATCTCCATAACCCTTACATTCAAAATTTTAAATCACCTATAGAAAAATTAGCTTCTGAAGAGTACAAGGTAGTGATCCATGCTGATAAAACTCCACAGGGGCAACATGCAGGTCATTTCAATGCATCTTTTGTTGATGAGGTGGTTATTCTCCTTGTTGGTCAAAACTTCGTAAAAGAGATATTGTACTATAACAGAAAAACAATACATTGAAGAGAGTAGCTGAAACACATCAAACCTATGACACTTTACAATATCCTTTGATTTTTGGAAAGGTGAATGGATACAACTTCTCTACTTCTCAAAAAAATCCAATGTCAGGTCAAATAATTCCAAAGAAGAAAGTGTTTCCAATGGATTTTTATTTCTTTAGAATGAGTTCAATACAATTTGTTAGCAAGAGAACTCTTCTTTCCAATTTGCAGTTGCTATGTATACCAAAACTGAAAGTTGAGGAGTACATTCATCTCAGGGATGCAGTAAAGAATGATGGAGATGCCAGGAATGATGGTCAAATGGTCATCTTGCTTTCAAGTTTCACAGGAGGACCAAGGTACATGCATGAATGTACACAATATACTATTAAGAAAGTATGGTAGACCAGACCTCTTAATAACATTCAAATGCAGTCCAAATTGGCTATAAATAAAAAGAAAATTGATGCAAAATCAAAATCTCAAGACCATCAATATCTAATTTCAAGAGTATTTTGGTAGAAAATAATGATACTCATAGGATTATTAACAAAGAAAGACATTTTTGGTCATATGTACATGACTGAATGGCAAAAGCGAGGCCTACCACATGCCCACATTCTTTAGTGGCTCCCAAATAAGCTAAAATCAAACCAAATTGATGATATTATATGTGTTGAACTAACAAACACTACACTGAACCCTGTTGTTTTTGAGAATGTTAAAAAGCACATGATACGTGGACTCTGTGGTCAGCTCAATAGAAAATTACCATGCATTATAGATGGAAAATGTTGTAAAATATTTCCAAGAGATTTCATACAAGAAACTAAAACTGATCTAGATGGATATCCTCTGTATGGGAGAATAAAGTTAGATGCTGGTGGATTTGATACACTGCTGAAGGAGATAGTCATTGATAACATGTCAATTGTACCTTACAATCCATATTTATCCAGAATTTTCAATGCTCACATCAATGTCGAAGTATGCATCTCAATCGAGAGCATTAAGTATGTCTGCAAATATGTGAACAAAGGTTCTGACATGGCAATGTTTGGTACTGAAAGAGAAAGAAGTGAGAAAGATAAGGTTTCCTCCTTTCAGATGGGTAGATACATTAGCACTAATGAAGCTATTTGGAGAATTTTGGAATTCCCAATTCATGAGCATTATCCACCAGTTATCCATTTACAAGTAAATATAGTAAAATGGAAAACAAGTCTTTTACACTGAGGAAAATGTTCACCAAAGACTTCAGCAGCCACCAAAAGCAACCGTTACCGCTTTTTTTTTAATTGTGCCGAGATGATGATTTTGCAAAACCTTACTTTATCCTCAAGTACCCAATTATTACACATGGAATAATCAACACAAAAAATTTAAAAGACACATTCAAGGTCCAATCACTGATGGATTTCCAGGCATAAAATACAGTGATACTATCAGAAGAGTTTACACTATACATCCAAACAATTTTGAATGCTTCTGCTTGATGATTTAAGAACAGTGAATGGTGAAATATGTGATAGTTTCAAAGATGCATGCAACATTAGAGGTTTGTTAGAAAATGATGCCCATTGAAATAGTGCTTCAGAGGAGGCAGCAGCAACAACACATTCATCAAATCAATTCAGATATTTGTTTGCAATCATGTTACAAACATGTGCAATGTCCAATCCATTACAGTTGTGGGAAAATAACAAAGAAAGTTTTGCTGAAGATATACTGTTCCACATGCACAAAAACTCTCTGGAACTAAATCTGCATTATGATAACAACATCTTTAATGAAGCACTTATCCTGATTGAAGATAAGGTCATGTCTCTTGGTGGCAAATGTTTAATAGATTTTGGTCTTCCATCTCCTGAGAGAACTCAATTACTTCCATTGCCAAAGGATATTTAAGAGAAGTTTCATACAACAAAAATGATTTACTAACATACATTGCTGAGAATGAATCTTAACTTACAGAAGACCAGCTTATAGAAACATTCTTGAAAAGAGAAGTCTCATGAAAGGTGAAATGGTATTGTTAGATGCACTAGGTGGTATTGGAAAAACATTTTTGATCAATTTGAATTAGATCAGAAGGAAATATTGCTCTTGCTTCTTCAGCAATTGCTGCTTCATTATTGAAAAGAGGAAGAACAGCTCATTCAGCATT